CCCCAAAGCCCCCCCCCGCCATGCCCGGCCCCAACCCCGGGCAGGGCTTGGGCTGCGCCCACCAGGATGCACCTCACCTCGTAAGACGGTGAAGTTCTTCAGCATCTCCCCATGCCGGACGTCCACCACTTTCATCTCCTCCATGACCATGGAGAGGTTGCGGATGTCAAAGTCCAACCGGGCGCTGAGGAGGCTGTAACGCTCCCGCAGCAGGTCCGTGGTGCCCTGGACCAGGCTGAGGGACTTGTTCAGGTAGTAGAGCTCCTCGGCGTGGGCGTGGAAGCCCAGGGTGCAGGAGAGGCGGACGTCATCCAGGTAGCGCAGCATGCTGTGGACGTGGCTGTCGGTGGCGTTGATGTTGGCGAAGATGGTGCCGATCTCGATCTCGTGGGAGGTCATGCGACCTTCCAGGGTCTCGAAGCGCTCGGCCGTGCGGTTCTGCGCGTACCTGTTGTGGTAGCGCAAGTCGTTCATGTTCTCCTCGTGGTCGTCCAGGAAGGAGGAGATGTTGTCCAGCTGCAGCTGCAGCCCCATCACCTGCAGCACCAGGTCGTGCATGCTCTCCGAGTTCTGGCCGACCTGCCGAGCTGCCGCGCCGACGTTGCCTTGGATGCTCTTCACCAGCTCGCTGGTCTTGGACGAGGTGGCCCGCAGCCCGCCTAAGAGGGTAGTTCTGCCACTCGGTGACGATCTTCTGCAACGTCAACGTCTCCTCGTCCGTCTTCCTCTGGATGACCTGGATCCAGTCGGAGGTTTGCCCCAGGGTGAAGTTCATCTGCTGCATGGCCGCTCGGACATCGTAGCGCTCCTGGGCCAAGCCCTTGAGAGAGCCGTCGAGCTGGGAGGTGACCACCTGCCAGCCCCCAACCTGGGCCAGGAACCGCCCCAAGCTTTCGTTGACCTGCCGGATGGAGAAAGAGCAGTCGTCCACCTCGCTGATGATCTTGTTGCTGGCGGATGAGAGGAGGTTGTGGGTCTGGGAGGTCCGGTCGAGCAGGATTTCTTGAACCAGAAGCATCTTCTGGATCTCCTCCAGCTCGCCCTGCAGCTTGGTGATCTCCTGGCCCAGCTGTCCTGTCTCGTGGCAGAGGGAGCAATTCCCCAAGGTCTTCTCATCTGAGCGCAGAGCAGAGGGGTTTGTTACCCCACCCCACCCCTCACTGGGCCTGGAGACCCTCCTGCTGAGGACTAGAGCGGAGGAGCAGCCTCACCACGGATTGTCTTTGCGGACCCTAGAGATGGGCACCACGGAGCCACGGCTTGGCCCACCCTGATGCCACCAGGTTGCGCCAGCTCCCACCCTCACCCTGCTCCTGCCACCTCCGCGCAGCAAGTTCCCCAAAGAGCCCAAGACCACCAACCCCACCCTTGGGACCGTACCATTGTCCCTCCCCAAAGCCCTGGGAGAGAAGCGGGGCTCTTAGCTCTGGGGGACCCCCAGGACCTGAAAAGTGGAGATGCTTCAGCCCCTGGCTGGCAGCGTCGAGCAGCTGAGGTCCGCTCAGGTGGAGGGACACGTGGAGAAGACCTCCAGGTCCAGGCGCAAGCCACTCACCCAACCCCTGGAGGTCCTCCTGGATGGACGCGATCTTCTGCTCGTAGTAGGTCTGGGCTGAGCTGACATCGTTGGAGATGGAGTTGACTTTCTTGAACACTGTGGAGGAAAGGCAGGAGGTCAGGGGAGATGGGCAGGCGCTGGGACGTGATCGTCCTCCAGATCTTTCCTCTGGGCTCGTTCCCCGCCATGGAGGGCTTCAAGAGCTGGGCTGGGTGGCTGGTGGGTGCTGGTTCTGCGGGGTGGGTGTCCCCAGGGCCTTCTGGCTTTGGGGCTTGGCCAAGGTCTACAAAGCATCTCCAGGGCTCCAGCCCCGGGGACGGTGCCGTTCCTCTGCTGAGCCCACCAGGCTGTTCCTTGCCCGTGGAGGTGATGGGGTGGCAACCTCTGGGCTTCGAGGTGGTCCCTGAGGTCCCCCGTGGGCGTAAAGCCATCCCCTGGCAAGGTGGCATCACGCACAGGGTACTCGTGCACCCCAGGGGAGCTGGGTGCTCCTCTCCATGCCGGGTGCTGGAGGTGCTTTGGGGGACCTCCAGCATCCCCGAGGGCGGGTGTTGTTGGGTTGATGGTTGGACTCGATGATCCTAGAGGTCTTCTCCAACCTCTGATTCTATGAGGGGCTGCTCTGAGGAGGGTGGGAGGTAAGTCCACTTTCTTAGCTGAACAAGGAGCATTTTTAAAAGCGTTCAAGTGCAGCTCTGGTTGAGAAGTCGTATATCTGAGTTAGCTCCACATGGTGCCAGACTTAATAACCCCTGCTGAGAGGCAGTGCCACATTTACATGACTGTACAGGCTTCTGGACTGGAGCTGGATAGCAAGCCTTATTTTTAGAGTTACTAAGCGCCATACAACAATAAATATTTAGACATCTACACATACAAGTGCACACTTGATAGATTTATAAAAGTGCTTACATCGATAGGCACCTACTCTTAAATCAATATGAACCTTAAGTAATGAAATCCTTCTAGAAATCCCACTAAGCATGGTGTTTGGTCTCCCCTCTAAATATTCTGTGAGATCTGCCCCACTGTCAGTGAGGCCTTAAGCACTTGTATGGCCCAGTTATCTCTGAAAATGGGTGCAGGGTTCCGTGCCGTGTAGATACTTTTATTATTTCTATTGTTTTCAGACACCTGAAGAAGCAATCAAATCGAAGATAACATGCACAATCTCTAACAGGGCAGCTTTTTCACTGCTGCCCGTATCAGCCTATGGCCAAGGCTCACTTCCTCTTCCATTGCTTCAAGACTTTATGCCGTGAGGATGAACACAAGATGTCTAAAGCAAGGAAAGATACAGAAAGGTGGCGGCACTTCCAGGGCAGCAAGGACCACAGCTCCTGTGTCAGTCCCAGCCACGGCCCACAGTCACAGGCTCAAAACCACTTGGCAGGGTAGTGCTGTGCAGCTCCTTCTGTCACCCTGGCACAAAGCAAGCCCATGTGGTATGTAAGTCACGTTGAGCAATCAGGTCCTACAGAAAGCAGTATTTTCTGCAGGAGTGGAGGGTGATGTCCTTTGACCCCCATGGGAGCAGAGAAAAAACTCACAGGAGCAACAGAAAACCCACGGGAGCAAAAAAATAACCCACGGGAGAAAAGATAAAACCCACAGGAGGAAAGGAAAAACCCATGGGATCAAAGGAAAACCCACGGGAGAAAAGATAAAACCCACAGGAGGAAAGGAAAAACCCACGGGATCAAAGGAAAACCCACGGGAGCAAAGGAAAACCCACGGGAGAAAAGGAAAAACGCACGGGAGCAAAGGAAAAACCCACGAGAGCGAAGGAAAAACTCACGGGAGCAAAGGAAAACCCATGGGAGAAAAGAAAAAACCCACGGGAGAAAAGAATAAACCCACAGGAGCAAAGGAAAAACCCACAGGAGCAAAGGAAAACCCATGGGAGAGAAGAAAAAACCCACGGGAGAAAAGGAAAAACCCACAGGAGCAAAGGAAAAACCCATGGGAGCAAAGGAAACCCCATGGGAGCAGAGAAAAAACTCACAGGAGCAACAGAAAACCCACGGGAGCAAAAAAATAACCCACGGGAGAAAAGATAAAACCCACAGGAGGAAAGGAAAAACCCATGGGATCAAAGGAAAACCCACGGGAGAAAAGATAAAACCCACAGGAGGAAAGGAAAAACCCACGGGATCAAAGGAAAACCCACGGGAGCAAAGGAAAACCCACGGGAGAAAAGGAAAAACGCACGGGAGCAAAGGAAAAACCCACGAGAGCGAAGGAAAAACTCACGGGAGCAAAGGAAAACCCATGGGAGAAAAGAAAAAACCCACGGGAGAAAAGAATAAACCCACAGGAGCAAAGGAAAAACCCACAGGAGCAAAGGAAAACCCATGGGAGAGAAGAAAAAACCCACGGGAGAAAAGGAAAAACCCACAGGAGCAAAGGAAAAACCCATGGGAGCAAAGGAAACCCCATGGGAGCAGAGAAAAAACTCACAGGAGCAACAGAAAACCCACGGGAGCAAAAAAATAACCCACGGGAGAAAAGATAAAACCCACAGGAGGAAAGGAAAAACCCATGGGATCAAAGGAAAACCCACGGGAGAAAAGATAAAACCCACAGGAGGAAAGGAAAAACCCACGGGATCAAAGGAAAACCCACGGGAGCAAAGGAAAACCCACGGGAGAAAAGGAAAAACGCACGGGAGCAAAGGAAAAACCCACGAGAGCGAAGGAAAAACTCACGGGAGCAAAGGAAAACCCATGGGAGAAAAGAAAAAACCCACGGGAGAAAAGAATAAACCCACAGGAGCAAAGGAAAAACCCACAGGAGCAAAGGAAAACCCATGGGAGAGAAGAAAAAACCCACGGGAGAAAAGGAAAAACCCACAGGAGCAAAGGAAAAACCCATGGGAGCAAAGGAAACCCCATGGGAGCAGAGAAAAAACTCACAGGAGCAACAGAAAACCCACGGGAGCAAAAAAATAACCCACGGGAGAAAAGATAAAACCCACAGGAGGAAAGGAAAAACCCATGGGATCAAAGGAAAACCCACGGGAGAAAAGATAAAACCCACAGGAGGAAAGGAAAAACCCACGGGATCAAAGGAAAACCCACGGGAGCAAAGGAAAACCCACGGGAGAAAAGGAAAAACGCACGGGAGCAAAGGAAAAACCCACGAGAGCGAAGGAAAAACTCACGGGAGCAAAGGAAAACCCATGGGAGAAAAGAAAAAACCCACGGGAGAAAAGAATAAACCCACAGGAGCAAAGGAAAAACCCACAGGAGCAAAGGAAAACCCATGGGAGAGAAGAAAAAACCCACGGGAGAAAAGGAAAAACCCACAGGAGCAAAGGAAAAACCCATGGGAGCAAAGGAAACCCCATGGGAGCAGAGAAAAAACTCACAGGAGCAACAGAAAACCCACGGGAGCAAAAAAATAACCCACGGGAGAAAAGATAAAACCCACAGGAGGAAAGGAAAAACCCATGGGATCAAAGGAAAACCCACGGGAGAAAAGATAAAACCCACAGGAGGAAAGGAAAAACCCACGGGATCAAAGGAAAACCCACGGGAGCAAAGGAAAACCCACGGGAGAAAAGGAAAAACGCACGGGAGCAAAGGAAAAACCCACGAGAGCGAAGGAAAAACTCACGGGAGCAAAGGAAAACCCATGGGAGAAAAGAAAAAACCCACGGGAGAAAAGAATAAACCCACAGGAGCAAAGGAAAAACCCACAGGAGCAAAGGAAAACCCATGGGAGAGAAGAAAAAACCCACGGGAGAAAAGGAAAAACCCACAGGAGCAAAGGAAAAACCCATGGGAGCAAAGGAAACCCCATGGGAGCAGAGAAAAAACTCACAGGAGCAACAGAAAACCCACGGGAGCAAAAAAATAACCCACGGGAGAAAAGATAAAACCCACAGGAGGAAAGGAAAAACCCATGGGATCAAAGGAAAACCCACGGGAGAAAAGATAAAACCCACAGGAGGAAAGGAAAAACCCACGGGATCAAAGGAAAACCCACGGGAGCAAAGGAAAACCCACGGGAGAAAAGGAAAAACGCACGGGAGCAAAGGAAAAACCCACGAGAGCGAAGGAAAAACTCACGGGAGCAAAGGAAAACCCATGGGAGAAAAGAAAAAACCCACGGGAGAAAAGAATAAACCCACAGGAGCAAAGGAAAAACCCACAGGAGCAAAGGAAAACCCATGGGAGAGAAGAAAAAACCCACGGGAGAAAAGGAAAAACCCACAGGAGCAAAGGAAAAACCCATGGGAGCAAAGGAAACCCCATGGGAGCAGAGAAAAAACTCACAGGAGCAACAGAAAACCCACGGGAGCAAAAAAATAACCCACGGGAGAAAAGATAAAACCCACAGGAGGAAAGGAAAAACCCATGGGATCAAAGGAAAACCCACGGGAGAAAAGATAAAACCCACAGGAGGAAAGGAAAAACCCACGGGATCAAAGGAAAACCCACGGGAGCAAAGGAAAACCCACGGGAGAAAAGGAAAAACGCACGGGAGCAAAGGAAAAACCCACGAGAGCGAAGGAAAAACTCACGGGAGCAAAGGAAAACCCATGGGAGAAAAGAAAAAACCCACGGGAGAAAAGAATAAACCCACAGGAGCAAAGGAAAAACCCACAGGAGCAAAGGAAAACCCATGGGAGAGAAGAAAAAACCCACGGGAGAAAAGGAAAAACCCACAGGAGCAAAGGAAAAACCCATGGGAGCAAAGGAAACCCCATGGGAGCAGAGAAAAAACTCACAGGAGCAACAGAAAACCCACGGGAGCAAAAAAATAACCCACGGGAGAAAAGATAAAACCCACAGGAGGAAAGGAAAAACCCATGGGATCAAAGGAAAACCCACGGGAGAAAAGATAAAACCCACAGGAGGAAAGGAAAAACCCACGGGATCAAAGGAAAACCCACGGGAGCAAAGGAAAACCCACGGGAGAAAAGGAAAAACGCACGGGAGCAAAGGAAAAACCCACGAGAGCGAAGGAAAAACTCACGGGAGCAAAGGAAAACCCATGGGAGAAAAGAAAAAACCCACGGGAGAAAAGAATAAACCCACAGGAGCAAAGGAAAAACCCACAGGAGCAAAGGAAAACCCATGGGAGAGAAGAAAAAACCCACGGGAGAAAAGGAAAAACCCACAGGAGCAAAGGAAAAACCCATGGGAGCAAAGGAAACCCCA